ACTCATTAGTTTTCTAGTTTTTCAAGTAAATACTTCCCTTTGCTCCAACAATTTATTCTCAAGTAATTGTTCCTTCCTTGGATTTCCAGTTACACAATCTTAATATGAGCCCATCACCATAGGGTCTACCTCCCAAGACTGGGTTGGCATGGGTACTGAGTCTTTGGTCAATGTTATCACTCAGTAAACATGAGCTTCTCTTTCCTGGCTGGAAGAACACATTTCTGATAACATGTCTCCCAAAACTCCTTATGGTATTCTTGTGTCTCTGCCTCAGGTTATTGTTTTTCAGAATTAAACCCCATCTTTCCATCTAGATTAGTATTCAGGAGGAAACACTGGTTTGTTCAACTATGTTTTCCCCACAGTCCAGTACAAAAGGATGGTCAGGAAATGTTTGCTGAATAGATGAGTTAACAAACAAATGTCTCAGCAAGTAAAGAATAAAGAAAGCCAAAGGTCTTCATGTTCTGTATCTACCACTAATGTCATATTTATCCGAAGTCTTGGGTGAACACCTCTATCAGTCCTTGTGGAATCTGATAATAAACCATCACAGAAATGTTTAGAAAGTAAGAGTAAAGCCGGGCAGTGGTGGCTCATACCTTTAATCCCAGCACTCCAGAGGCAGAGCCAGGTGGATCTCTGTGAGTTCAAGGCCACTGTGATCTACAGAGCAAGATCCAGGACAGGCACCAAAGCTACACAGGGAAATTCTGTCTCAAAAAACCAAAAAAAAAAAAAAAAAAAAGAAGAAAGAAAGCAAGTGTAATTGCTTCTGATGAAGAGTGATGATGATTTTGCTCATTCTTAGTAAAACTGTGCTGGTTATAATTATGAGCTATTTTCTAACAAGAAGTATAGCAGTAATTTTAAAGTTTTCTTCTACTAAAGATTCTGGACATGACTGGTGGTTCTCCTACATTGTAACCATGGCTATTCTAGCAACAGGGATCCAAGGCTCTCAGTAACACAGGGTTTAAACATCTGGCCAAGTTTGAGCATAGGAAGCTGGTTAAGTCTTAGGGTGTAGAGAAGATATAAGAATGAGAACCACTATCTGCAGCATATATTTTAAACAGTTCTTTGGTCTTTTAGCCTATGATAGGGATAGGAACTTGAGATCATATGCACTTGTAGCTTCTTAATGAGATTTTTCCATTACATAAGATTACATGCCACAATTCATGTAAAATCAAATGTGAAAGGTCTTAAATCACATATAAAACTAGTATCTTCTAGGTTACATCAAGAATACAGTTGCTTCCTTTTCCCAGAGATATCATTCAGATATAGTATAGAATGTGTAGATTATACACACTTCTCTTTATGGCCAACCTGATGGCAGCTGTACAGCTGAACTTCACATTGTAGTAAAGGAAATCAAACATGAACCCAGCTAACATATCACTAATCAGCACTATTCCTTTGCTGATATTTTTTATTTGAATTATGTTTATGCATGTGTGTAGACAGAATTTTCTTCAGTCCTGCCTTGCCCAGCAGTCTGGATAAATCTCTCCCACCCGCAGTCCTACAGCCGCTTATAAAATAATTATTCAGAGGCTTATATTAATTACAAACTGTATGGCCTGTGGCTTCAGCTTCTTGCTATCTAGCTCTTTCATCTTAAATTAACTCATTTCTATAAATCTGTATGTTGCCATGTGGCTGTGGCGTTACTGGTCTGCTAGCATCCTGTTGCTCCTTCTGTGGCAGGCTGGCGTCTCTTCAACTCTGCCCTTCTTCCCTCTGTATCTCTGCTTGGATTTCCTGTCTGGCTGTAAGTTTTCCTGCCATAGACCAAAACAGCTTTCTTTATTATCCAATGGGAGCCTCACATATTCACAGCATACAGAAAGACAACCCACAGCACATGTGTGAGGGTTTGTACACATGAAGTGTAGTTGTAGAGGATTCCAGAAGAGGATGTCAGATCCCCTGGAGCTTGAGTTATGACAGTTGTGAGCCATCTAACCTGGGTGCTGGGAAATGAACTCAGGTCTTAAGTGAGAACAGTACTCACTCTTAACCATTGAACCATGCCTGCATCCCTGATCAATAGCATTTTGGAAAATACTCTAGAAATACGTTTTTCTACACTTAAAGGTTTGAGTTGTTTTAGTATGGATATATGATCTAAAAAGTCATGAATGCTTCCTGACTTCCTTAGCCAATGGCTCCTAATTCTGACTAACAAACATTCTGAGGCACTGACTAATGACATACAGGAGTCATTAGAGTGTCTAGGACAAAGCAAAATTCAGACCCTTCTCACAGGAAGCTTATGATGGAATGAAGAGGCACATTAGTCTCACTAATTACCACTGACACAGGCAGGCCACACAGGCACTAGAGAAGTGAGACGATCTATGGGCACAAACAGAGAGGGCACCTTATACCTGAGGACAGCGACAGTGGCTGTGGTCCCTGGAGGACAGTCAGCATGTCGGAGGCAAAAGAGCTGGATGAGAAGCAAAACGAGGCAAGCTTCCCACAGGGGGCTGCTCTAAGCATGCACAGGAAGTAGACATGGGGAAAGTCGGAGGTTCAACTGGATATGAAAATTAGAACATTCCCTACCATCTGACAAGGGAAGGCTCTCTATTCTGTGGGAACTCACAAAGAACGAGCTGGATTGGCACCAGTCACAGCCCCTGTGGGCAGCATCTACAGGATTTTGGCCACTGGTAGCCGAGGCATAAGACCAGACAGAGACCAGGACGAGCAATCAGAAATAATAATGGGACAAACCAGAAGTGTGTATTATGTTGACAATTGGGAGTATATGAATGATGATAGTGGTCTCTGATGTCAGAATGAATAGCTTACTTTAAATCACCAGCAGAGTCTTCCCTGTGAGTAGCAGGATTAGGAGCCTGGCACAGCTGCTCTCTCCTATAATACCAGCACTTGAGAGGCTGAGGCAAGAAGACTTCAATGAGTTCTAAGACCGCCTGAGTGACCTACTGAGTTCTAGGTCAGCCTAGGCTACGGGGTGAGACTCCGTCTCAAACGACAAACAGAAGACCTCAAGTAGGACTCAGCACCATCTGAACTGCCCTTGTCCCTGTGCTGGAAACTGTCTTAACTGACCTGCAGTAATCACCTCTCCAGAGAGTCAGTGCTTCCTGCTCCTCTGCAGAAGCCCAGGGCTGGAGGAGCTCCTGGCACACCGGCCATCGGCTCACGATGCTGACACCATTGCACAACCGATTCTGATAAGTAAAGACTGCTCTGTAAGTCGGGGAGAACCCACAACTAACACGATGGCACCGGCCATTAAAAACAACATCAAGGTTGTTTAAAGAGTAGCATTAGAGCCGGGTGGTGGTGGCGCACACCTTTAATTCCAGCACTCGGGAGGCTGAGCCAGGCGGATCTCTGTGAGTTGGAGGCCAGCCTAGTCTACAGAGCGAGATCCAGGAAAGACACAAAGCTACACAGAGAAACCCTGTCTCGGAAAACCAAAAAAAAAAAAAAAAAAAAGAGTAGCATTGGGAGCACAGAGACCAACCAAAAGCCAGGAATGCTAGCCAGACAGGATAATGTGGCTGAGTGATGTTCGAATATGAGCACCAAGAGGCATTTGTTATTGCTATAACTCTAGAGGCTCAGGCAAACTCATCCAAGAAGAATTGCTGACACTGTTGTCAAATCAAATCAGGCCATCGGCACCATGTCTGTAAAAGGTCACTGGGAACAATATTAAGATCAAAAGAGATCTTGCCATGGTTGGCCAGATGGCTCAGTGGTTAAGGGAACTGATTGCCCTTCCTGAGGACCTGAGTTTGATTCCTAGAACCCACACAGTCTCTCAAAAGTTTCTGTAATATCAGCCCCCAGGGGATCCCATGCACTCTTCCGGCCTCCACAGGCACTGCCCCATATGGTGCACAGACATATATGCGGTCAAAAGACCCACATTTATAAAATAAAAATAAAGATTAATTTAAAAAGAGATAAAGAGAGATAACCAATAATTATATAATTCTGATAGGCATGTCAGGGTTTGGTATGAAATTCCCTCAATATTTCTCTAAGTTTGGGCCTTTTATGATTAAAAAAAATAGTTAAGAAAATGTCTCTAGAATTCTACAGAAATGATTTTTACATTCCTGACAAGAGGTCAGTCAGCATTAAGTGCTGGGTCCTCCCATGGTCTGACGCCAGACACCACAGAGACTAAAGAGCAAGGCCTAGAAGCTGAAAATAAAGATTGTTTGGGCGCTAAGGACTACATGTCCCACAGTCCACCTGGTCATCCCATTCTGCCAGGCTTCCTATGGCCCATAAGGTTTGTTCTCTCCATCCTCCATCCCCCTCATCAGTGGTTCGGCTGTTAGAATGACAGCATCTGGCTGAGGAGAACACAGCTACAGTGAGCGAAGGATTTGAAACCTCTGCTTCTGAGCCCTTGGCTGGAGATACGAAGGTCCTCCTCTGTGTAGTGAAGTGCTTCTAGCAAAGGCTCTTTCCAGCAAAAGAATATTGGTGACCCCACAGCCAGGTGTTGGTGGTGGGTGGTACATTCCATGTCCGTTACCTTCGGTCTCTAACATACTCATAGTTCTAGGTGGGTGGCACCATTAAAATGTGTGGCCCTGAATATTTTTTGCAAGAGTATATCAGTAGTGTACCCCACTGTCTTTTTTGTTATTTTGTCTTTTTTTTCTGGAGCTGAGGACCAAACCCAGGGCTTTGAGCTTGCTAGGCAAGTGCTCTACCACTGAGCTAAATCCCCAGCCCCCGTACCCCACACTCTTATTTGAAGGCACAAACTCTTATGAGCTGTCTTTGTAAAGCAGAAATTAATGAGTTATCTCTATACTGTAACTAGTCTTTAAGACAAATTACTTAATAATTAGACAAATTTTAGTTTGGTTTTTAGTTTAGTTAGATACGTTTTATTGAAACTCTCGAAGAGATGGAAGTCTGCAGTACAGGGAGTAGATGAAACTCAAGTCGCAGGTGGGTAGGAAGGCAGCTGGACAGGACACCAACAGACTCCTCTCATCCCCACACAATTGAAAACCAGTTGAATTGAAACACTAGAACGTTTGGATTGAATTACATCCACCCCTGTTAATGTTGTAATCTTAAGTGTTGCTAAGGGCTCATGTTCTGAACACTACTTTTCTTGCTAGGGATGATATTTCAGGAGATTGTGGAACCTTTAGGATGCGGGACTTGACTGACAAAGTAGAACACTAGGGGTGGACCTTTGCAAGCTCTACCTGGCCTCTAGTTCTAGATTTATTCTCTGCCTTCAGGTCAACCTCTCCCACTGCATCACAGCAATGAACTCAGCTGCTCAGCTGTGCCTTTCCACCATGATAGACCACAACTGTAACCCTGAAGCTGCTCCTTGCAAGTACTGTTGCCACAACAAAGCAAAGCTAACTAATACAATCAACAAAATATGTTCAATTCTTAACTCCCAAAACCTTCTTTAGAAATAGGGTCTTTGGGAAGAAACAGTGAGAACGACCCCTGGACGGGCCAAACCCGTGCACCATACTGCTGCATCCCCACGTTCAGCTCCGACGTCCCCCGCCGCCGCCGCCATGCCCAAGAGAAAGGCTGAACAGGATACTAAAGGAGATAAGGCCAAGATGAAGGATGAGCCACAGAGAAGATCTGCAAGGTTGTCTGCTAAACCTGCTCCTCCAAAGCCAGAGTCCAAGCCTAAAAAGGGCCCTGCAAAGAAGGGGGAGAAGGCCCCCAAGGGGAAGAAGGGGAAGGCCGATGCTGGGAAGGATGCGAATAATCCTGCAGAAAACGGAGACGCCGAAACAGACCGGGCACAGAAAGCTGACGGTGCTGGAGATGCCAAGTGAAACGTGTGCGTTGTTGATAACTGTGTACTTCTGGTGACCTCACAGTTTGAAATACTATTTTTACCAAGTTTTATAGAAATGCAGAATTTTGTTTTACTTTTTTTTTTTAAGCTATGTTGTTAGCACACAGAACACTTCATTGTTTTTTGGGGGAAGGAACCTGTGTCACTAACGAAATGTCTCCCAAGCTGGACTGATGATGGCTGATGTGGGAAAACATCTTTCCATAACTTTGAAAGACTCCTCTTGGCTCTCAGGAGAAACATCCTGGTGTTGACATACATGGCCACCATGGCACAAAATGCTTTGTGTGTGGAGAAACTCTAAATTCATTTTCATACCCCTTCTCCTGCACCAACAACATAGATGTAACTCCTTTAAAACCAGAGACCTGTTGGAACCCCACCCGCAAAATTGGTTTTGCTGGTCTATCAGGCAATCTGGACTTTGCAGTGATATCATTGAGAATCCTCAAAAGAGCAGCGGTTCCTTTTATAAAAGATTGTGGATCTTCATGATGATCCTGCCGTGTTCATTTCATTTCCTGAAAGTCAGGGTCAGCTTGGGAAAAGTTGTTAAACAACATCCTCAGTGTGAGCTGTCAGCCCTCACTCTAAGCTCTCCCCCATGTTCAAAGCATCGAATGAAGACTCATTGGGTTTTATAGTGGCTTTCTGATTTTGGTAGTCTATACAAGAAGGGAGTTTGGAAGTTCTTGTATACTGTTAATGACTGTCTGCCCATGTCCTGCCTGAAAAACCATGAGTGTTTATGGAAAATATCTTTTAAAAAGCTGAGTACAGTTTGGCTTATGAAAAAAGAAATAGGGTCTTTGGCACTAGGAATATAGCTCACTGGTAGAGTGCTTCTTTAGCATGCTCAGACCCTAAATCCAGTCCTCAACGCTGAAAAGGAAAGGAGGTAAGAAGGAAGGAAAGGAGGAGGGGAAGGGGGAAGGAGGGGAGAAAAAGAAATGGAGTCTTCATAGGCCATCAGGTTACCGTGAAACCACATTAGAATAGGGTGGACTCTAATTCAACATGGCCATGTCTTTAAGAAAAGGGAAACATTGGATGCAGACACAGAGATTACCAACTGAAGGTGATGGCAGAGAACGAAGTATGCTTTTACATCCCAAGGAATGCCAAAGTTTGTTAGCAACCATCTGGAGCTGAAGGGAGGCCTGGAGCCATGTCTTCTTAACAGCCTCCCAGGGAGTCCATCTTTGCACACCAGGACCTTGGATTTCTGATCTTCAGAACTGTGACAGAACGAATTTCTGTTGTTCTAACCTCCTCAGCCAGGGAGCTCTTTGTCACAGCAGCTGGGAGAAACTCAGACAGGAAGATCATGCTTTGTTTTCTTGCAGGCTGTGATAAAACAAAACAAACAAAAAACAACAAACAAAGAACAACTGATGTCCTTATAAGAAGGGGGTTAATCTGGACCCAAACGGAGAGAACATATATGAAAACACAGGCAGAGGCTGGAGTGACAGATCCACAGAGAGGCCACGGGCTGCTGGGAACTGCCAGAAAAGGTGGGAGGAGCCATCCTGAGAGCTGTCAATGGGAGCACAGCCTTGCTGACATGGTGATTTTAGACTCCTGACCTTCATGCTCCTATAGCTACCTGGCACCTACAACTCCATTGCTGAAGCCCTAGAAAACATGACACCCCTGGAGCAAAGTGCCAGCAACCAAAATTCAGAAATATCTTCAAATGATTATAAAATATGATCAAGTTCTACTTTCCCCCAAATGCAAGATTGGTTTAACAACCAAAAATCAAATACTTTAATAGATTACATTGATATAATAATATTCCAAAGAAAAATTATCTTGAGAGATACAAAAACAGCATTTGACAGAATACCAAATTCATTCGTGATTTTTTGTTTTTGTTTTTTGTTTTTTCCATACAAGGTTTTTCTGTGTAGCTTTGGAGCCTGTCCTGGAGCTCAATCTGTAGCCCAGGCTGGCCTCAAACTCACAGAGATCCGCCTGCCTCTGTCTCCCCAGTGTTGGGATTAAAGGCATGTGCCACCGCCACCCAGCTTCATTCATGATTTTTAAGAAAAAGAAATTATCAAATAGGAAATAGGAATAGAAATAGGAAACCAATCATGGTGTGACACATCTGTAATCCCAGCATTTGGAAGACAGAGGTGGAATGATCAGTTCAAATTTGAGGTAGCCTGGTCTACATAGCAAGTTCCAGGCAAGTTTGGGTTACATGGTAACACTCCATCTCATAATAACAACAAAAAGAAACAGAAGGGAATGCCCTCCACCTGACAAAGGACATCTATAAAAATCCAGTAACATAATAACAAAACAGCAAATGTTTCCTTCCCTCCCTGTGGGAAGACTGAACTAGAGTTTTCCTGCCTGGCCCACAGTCAGGACAAATCTCTCTCACCTGCCAGTCCCACAGCCACTCAGACCCGACCAAGTAAACACAGAGACTTATATTGGTTACAAACTGTATGGCCGTGGCAGGCTTCTTGCTAACTGTTCTTATAGCTTAAATTAATCCATTTCTATAAATCTATACCTTGCCACGTGGCTCGTGGCTTACCGGCATCTTCACATGCTGTTTGTCATCTTGGTGGCTGGCAGTGTCTCTCTGACTCAGCCTTCCACTTCCCAGCTTTATTCTCCTCCTTGTCCCACCTATACTTCCTGCCTGGCCACTGGCCAATCAGTGATTTATTTATTGACCAATCAGCAACACACTTGACATACAGACATCCCACAGCAGAAGACCAGAAATGTCTGTTCAATATTGAGGTGAATGGCCCTAGACAATGCAATAAGAGACTCACAAAACTAAGGATGAGGAGAAGCAGGGAAGGGAGAAAGGGAGAATGGAAAACAAAAGGGAACTAGACAGAAGAATCATCCAACTTGGAAACAAAGTAAAACTATGTTATGATTTCAGGTGTCCTGTGTGAGTAAGTCTATAAAAGTCATGGAGCCCACAATCAGCACACAAATTATATGTTTTAGTAACAAACAATTTGAAAATGAAATTTGAAAAAAAAACTCCATTTACAAAGCACCCAAAAATGAAATAAAGTTAGCAAAATAAACAAAATTTTATTCCGAAGCTATTTTAAAATTCCTGAGAGAAATTAAAATAGCATAAATAAATGAAGGCACTTCATGTTCAAAGATTAAAATATCTAATATTGTCAAGATGGTATTGTCGCTATACTAATAAATAAATTAACCCTAAACCATACTGAAATGCCAGAATAAATTTGTGTGTGGGGGGGAGGGGGGATCTGCAAACTAGTACTCAAGTTCTTATAAAAATACAAAAGAATAGCAAAAAGCAATTTTGACCCAGAATAAAGTCAGAGGACTTACACTTTCTGATTTCAGTGTTCACTATAAAACTGCATTAATCAAGAGAGTGGCATTGGCACAGGATAGGCATATAAATCAGTGGAATAGAATTAAGGGTCCAGAAATAAACTCTTATGTAACAATCAGCTTAATTTTGACAAAGGTGCCAAGATAATTAATAGAGATGGAAAAGAGTCCTCTCAACAATCGGGGCTGGGGTAATCAGATACAAATATGCAAAACAGTGGCAAGAAAGATCTTAGACCCTCACCACACACCACACCCAACAGTTAACGCAAATAGTCCATAGAGCTAAATGGGAGAGATTAATCCATGAAGACTCTAGAAGGAAACACTGGAAAATATCTTCTGACCTTCAGGTGAGCAACGAATTCTTGGCAACTGTACCAAAAGCCTGACCCAAAGAGTAGTCGCAGCTTTTTAAACACAAGGATGAAAGGAGAAAGCTTTGAAGAGATCATTTAATGAAAGAAAACCTAAGTGGGGGGAACAGCCTAAAGACACAAGGGCACAGTCAATGGCACGGATAAGAAGAATAGAAAGCATCATCCCAACCAAAACCTGTTTACTTACAAAAGAAGAGAAAAATGTCCAGAACGATTGTTTTTTTTTAAATTAGAAGCTAAAAATGAGAAGAAAAATAGACTAGAAGGGCAAGATTGTGTGTGTGTGTGTGTGTGTGTGTGTGTGTGTGTGTGTGTGTGTGTGTGTGTAGAACACCAGGGTCTGAAAAGGGAGACAAACAACAGATATCAAAGAAATCCAGAGAATTATGAGGACATACTTTAAAAACCTGTACTCCATGTTGAAACAGAAATACAAAACCAAAGTGACTCGCTGAGTGTCTGGAAAAACACTTTGTGTGAGTGCAGGAGCTGCTCCCTCACCAGCCAATAGCTCCAGCCCTCTTCTGTGTCAATATATCAACCTGCAGGTCCCAAATGCAGAACAGACTCACCCATCAAGGTGTGTATGGAGCAGCCACCGAGTCTGCACTGTGATGCAGGAAGATACAGCTGTTCATGAATGAGACTCCAGTGCGGAAGATATCCCAGGGAAGACACTGACTACGAAGACTGTGTATGCCTGTCTTGCCAACAGCTGCATATGGCTAATAGTTACCAGTGTGGCTCAGTCAGCCTTGCCCTGACTTCCACCTGTCTCCTTACACATGCACACACAGTGAGTTATGTGCTCAGTGAAGATATTCTTATTGGCATGTGTCTAACGTGCTGCTTTGAACCCACAATTCAAATGGGATTGATTGACTTGAAACCTCACATCATGTTCACATTTAACCTTAAATACCTATGCAATCATGTTGAGGGGAGGTCCTGTTACTTCAGTACCACAAAGCTTATTTCTATACTTGAGTTCTTAAGTACCAAAAGTTGGAGTAGTTTAAATGGCATAGTACACATATATGTGCATATCATTTTATAGCCTCAGAAAACTGACTGGAGACCTTGTGAAGAAATGCACATGTTATATATTTCTGCTACCTGAATTCTCCTGGGTAATTTGATGGAATATTTTAAGTTTCAGTAAATCAAACAGTAAATAGACTTCCTCTCAAAACAGACACACACACATACACACTTTACTCTACTGAATTGAAAAATACAAAAGAAATGGATAGTTTTTTCAATACATATCAGTTACCAAAGTTAAGCCAATATGAGATAAGCAATATAAACAGACCTATGACCTCTAATGAAATAAAAGCAGTAATTATAAACTCCCCCCCCCCCGCTAAAAAAAGGCCAGGACCAGATGGTTGTAGTAATGAATTCTACCAGACTTTCAAAAAAGAGTTAATGCCAATACTCCTCAAATTATTCCACAAAATTGAAGCAGAAGGAACACGCCCAATTCATTTTATGAAGCCATTATTATCCTGATATCCAAACCACACAAAGACCCAACAAAGAAAGAGAATTTAAGACCAATTTTCCTTATAAATATAGATGCCAAAATTCTCAGTAAAATGCTTGCAAACCAAATCCAAGAACATATCAAAAGGATCATCCACTGTGATCAAGTAGGCTTCATCCTAGAGATTCAGGGATGGTTCAACATACATAAATCAATAAATATAATTTACCATATAAACAAACTGAAAGACAAAAAATATGATCATCTCAAAAGGCCTTTGACAAAATCCAACACCCCTTTGTGATAAAAGTCCTGGTGAGATTAGTGATACAAGGAAGCTACCTACCTCAGCATAACAGAGGCAGTTTACAGCAAGCCAACACCAACATCAACTTAAATGGACAGAAAAACCAAAGCAATTCCACTAAAATTAGGAACAAGACAAGGTTGTCAGCTCTTTCCAAACCCATTCAATATAATGCTTGATGTCTTAGCTAGAACAAAAAAACAACAGGAGATCAAGGGGATACAAATTAGAAAGGAAGAAGTCAAAGTATCTTTATTTTCAGATGGTACAACAGTATACAAAAGTGACCCTAACAATTCCTCTGAGAAACTTCCTATAGCTGATAAACATTTCAACAAAGTAGCTGGATACAAAATTAACTCACAAAACATTGTAGCCTTTCTATATGCAAATAATAAGTGGACTGAGAAAAATCAGGGAGATAACAATAGCTTCAAATAATATAAAATATCTTGAGGTAACTAAAACCAAACAATTGAAAGACTTATATGATGAAAACTTTAAGACATGGAAGAAAAAAACTGAAGAAACTATCAGGAAATAGAAAGATCTCCTATGCTCCTAGATCAGTATGATTAACATAGTCAACATGGCCATCCTAACAAAAGAAATCTACAGAGTCAATGCAATCCCCATCAAAATTCCAATACAATTCTTCATATAACCTGAAAGAATAATTTTCAGCTTCATATGGAAACACAAAAACCCCAGAATATTTAAATCAATCCTGACTAATAAAAGAACTGCTAGAGATATCACTGTCCCCAACCTCAACTGAACTACAGAACTTATAGTAATAAAAAAACAA